ACAGTAATCTGTGGGTGGAATCGAACCCAGGTCCCTGGCGGCGTGAAGCAGCAGTGCTAACTATTGAGCCACTGTGCCGTCCTAGGTTGAAGTCATTTCCAAAAGATTGCACCTCTAACAGTACAGCAGTCCCTCAGTGGTGCTGCTAGAGGCAGGGCCTTGGCAAATAACTGGAGCCCAGAGCACTCGGAGTTGGGGGGGGGGGGGGGCACTGTGCTAGCTGTGTAGCGTCCTGGCCAAAGAGCAACACCAGTGAATGTGAATTCTCTCCTTGCCCCTGAGTGGGAGTGTCAGCCTCAATGCAAATGTATGGAGTGGAATCTGAAACTAGAATCTCTGGATCCAGAAGGGATGGTTACAATGAAGCTAGGACTAAGTGACAATTAGATTGGAAACTCTAGCTAATTTGCATTCTTTCCCTCTAACCTTGAAGGACCTGAAGCCTGAAGTTTCAGTCGTCCTTGTTGCACCTTCAAGTTTCCATTCTTTTTTGGGATTTGGTCATCACTGGCTAGGTCAGTATTTATTGTCCATCCCTAATTGCCCCTTATACAGCCCATTTGAGGTGCCTTTAAAATACTGCTGTCCATGTAGTATAGGTAACTCACAGTGCTTTTAGAGATTTTGACCCAATGACTGCAAAGAAATGGTGAAATATTTCCAAATTCGGGTGGCGTGTGGCATGGAGGGGAACTTTCAGATGGTGGTGTTCTCATGTGTCTGCTGCCCTTGTTCTTCTAGGTAGCTTGAGAGTGGATAGCTTAGTTGGCTGAATGGCTGGTTTGAGATGCAGAGTGATGTCAACAACCTGGGTTTGATTCCTGTACTGGCTAAAGTCACCATGAGGATCTCCCCTTCTCGGCTTCACCTCTCATCTGAGGTACGGCGACCGTCAGGTTAAACTTGTCACCAGTCAGCTCTCTCTCCAATCACAGAGCATCTTATGGTCCTTAGGGACTACACTGACTTTATCTTGTAGGTTGCAGAAGGTGCAGGTTGGGACGATGCTGTCAAAGAAATTTGGTGAGTTGCTGCAGTGAACCTTGTAGATGGGACACACTGCTGCCACTGTGCATTAGTGGCATAGGGAGTGAATGTTGAAGACGGTGGATGTGGGGAATATCATGACTCCTGGATGGTGTCAAACTCCCTGAGTGTTGTTGGAGCTGCACCCTGGACAAAGAAGGAGGTTCAATGATAGCTAGCTAGGGTCTTAAATGAAAGAGATAAGAAGTGAGTTAAGAAAGATTTAGATTAGAATTGCAGAGCTTCAGGGTCTAGATTATTGCAGACATAGTCGCCAGTTGGGGCCACTGCTAAGTCAGCTACAGTCCGATGTGAGGAGATTCAGAGGGTAGACACATAAACTAAGTCTTTTACTGAATTCACCCTGCTTCCCTGTTTGGCTAAGAGTTCGGGCAACAGAGGTTTGGAATTGCAAGTGAGAGCTTTTGCCAACACTTCTATCCTGTGTCCTGGTGAAAAGCTAGTTTTTCTGTTTTCCAGAGTCACTGAGATGAATAGCACAGTTGCATCCAAGTGGAAGCAAGATATGCATCAGGAGAAAAGAATTAGAGGATTTCTACTTTTGTATTAATTCTTGGAATGTGCGCAATATTCACAGTTCTGACCAAAAATCAGAAGCAGCAACATTGAAATTCCCTCACAGATACTGCTTCCCAAAACTATTTTAAAGTCAGCAAATTCCACCTATCCATCAGCCTCTGATGTAAAATTTAGCAATCACTTTATTGTGTTTTGAAGTAGCAGTTTCAGGAGAGAAAAGAAGATAGGTGCTTGGAAGCTAAGAAGATGTATTGTGATGATGCCGTTAAATGTAACAGCATAAATGGCTGCTTATATGTATATCACATGATCATGGCAAAGGTTTCAAAAGCATAGTATGTAAAAGACAGAATGGATATGATGTTAGCCCGATCTGCCCAGTAGTAATGGTGCAGTCAGGCATTAAAATAACACCACACGGGAATCTTCATCATCATTGACTGAATTCCTGCAAAATTCCTGCATTTTCCAGTGTCAAGGCTCCTAGTTACAGGTGGGTAGAAGATGTAATGAGATGGATCAAAATGTAATTTGGAAATTGCCAACTGGAGGTGTACATTGACGACTTGGATGTGGAGTTTGGCCTGCTCAACATTTTTCCATTTGCCAAATTTAGTCTGTCTTCCTTGGCTTGATCTGCAGATGTAGTTATTGTCGCTTTCTCCACCCCTTGCCTTGCTACCTCCCTAAACTTTTTTACATGCATGCCATCAACATGGAATTCTTAGTGCTTGACTGATCCAGCAGAGGCCATGAGTTAATTCAATCCACAGGACGGACTGAATGAAAGAGACAACAGAGGAAGAAATGAGTCCATGTGGGCAGCTTTTCATGAAAGGGTTACTGGGTGACAAAAGGTGAGATGTAGTGTATCATGGCATGCTGAGGGAATGTGGAAAACTGAGAGTTAAGTAACATTTGCAAGGTCACTGTGAAACTAAACGGCAGAGAAAGCTGGCAAATGATAGAAATGACCATAAAAAGATCTGCTTCAGAGTCTCACCCTTTTTATAGAGGAGTGCATGGTGTTTAATTATAGACAGCATCTTTCACTTCTGTTAGGGCAGTTTATCTTATGAGTAAAAGTTGGACAGGTTGGGCCGGTATCCATTGAAGTTGACAAGAATGAGAGGTGATCTTATTGAGACATGTAAGTCCCTGCAGGATCTTCTCAGGCTGGATTTTGAAAGGATGTTTGTGGGACAGACTGGAACTGGGTGACTGAAAATATTTAAGACAAAGATGAGGAAAATTTCTTTCACTCAGAAGATCGTGAGTCTGTGCAATTCTATCCCAGATGCAATGGAAGCCAGATCTTTGAATATTTTAAGAGGACAGTTTGAGCTACAGAAAGAGGCTGAATAGGCTGGAGCTATTTTTCCAGTAGTGTCGGAGGCTGATGTGTGACCTTATAGAAACTCAAAATCATGAGTGGTATGGATAGGGTGAATAGGGTCAAAATTTTTTCCCCAGGGTGGGGGAATCCAAGACTGGAGGGCATAGGTTTAAGGTGAGAAGGGAAAGATTTAAAAGGGACCTGCGGAGCAACTTTTTTCACGCAGAGGGTGGTGTGTATATAGAGCGAGCTGCCAGAGGAAGAGGTGGAGGCAGGTATAATTCCAGCATTTAAAAGGCATCTGGATGGGTTCACGAATAGGAGGGGTTTAGAGGGATATGGTCCAAATACTGGCTAATGGGACTAGATTGATTTAGGTTATCTGATCAGCATGGATGAGTTGGACTGAAGTGTCTATTTCTGTGCTGTACATTTCTATGACTGCATTGTTCATCAGGAATCTAACATCATTTGGGGCTGAAGGAGGGAAATTGAAGTTGAGGCCACAATTAGATCAGGAATAACAAAGCAGGCTTGATGGGCTTAATTCATATGTATGTCTAAGTGTTAAATTCATGGAAGCCAACAGAAAGATGATGGACCCAGTATAGATTTCTGGAGGTAGAAGGTTTGTATTCTAACCCACTGAGTCAGGCTTCCCACAATCCTAGTCCTGTTGATTTGAAATCTTCCACAATCTTACGTGATGTATTATAGATTCAACCATCCTGGTCCATGTTTGATTGCCAGTTCGTAGACTTACAGTAGACTGATTTACATTCAGTCATTAAAAGCATCATGAATCACAGAGTCTGGAAGAGGACCATCAGCTCATCAAGTCTGTGATACCAAAAATATACTACTACCTACACCAGTTGCACTTTTCAGTACAAGGCCCATAGTCTTGAATGTTCTGACACTTCAAGTGCTTGTCCAAATAACTTTTTTAAAGGTTGTGAGGTTTCCCGTTTCAACTACCCTCCCAAGCAGTGCATTCCAGACCCGCCACCACCCCATGGGTGAAAAGGTTTTTCCTCAAATCCCCTTCTGCCTTTCACTTTAAAATTATGTCCCCCTCATTATCAACGTTTTAACTAAGGGAACAGCGACTTTCTATTGACCCTGTCCAGGCCTCTCATAATGTTATACACCTCTGTCAGTTACCCTTTCAACCTTCTCTGCTCCAATGAAAACAACCCGAGCATTTCCAGTGAAATGCTCCATTCCAGTCAACATCCTGATGAATCTCCTTTGCATTCCCTCCAGTGTGATCACATTCTTCCTATAGTCCAGCTGTGGCCTAACCAAAGTTCTGTACAGCTCCAACATGACCACCCTAATCTTAAAATCTGTGCTACAATTGAAAAAGGCAAGTGTTCCGTACTACCCTACGAACTTGTCCTGCTACCATCAGGAAACTGTGGACAAGTACTCCAACATTCCTCTGTTCCTCCGAACTTCCTAGTGTTCTGTCATTCATTGAGGACTCCCTTGTCTTGACTTCCTCCAAAAGTGCATCACTTCACACCTTTCAGGCCCCTGATCTGGCCATCTGACCATCTTGCCTATACCTTCCTATAATACTGGACTTGCCAGCAATGCCCACATCTTCCAGATGGCCTTCAACTAAGGTTCCAGGGTAAGATGACTCCTTCTCTGATTTTACATGTCTTCCAGTAACAGAACACTTGGCCTCTGTTTGACGTCTCCCTGCGTGGTGTGCAATGAGGCACCAGCAACCCTAAGCCCTTTACTCATTCATAGGTTTCTGTATACTTATAAAAACTGAAAGAACTGTGGATGCTCTAAATCAGGAACAAAAAACAGAAGTTGCTGGAAAAGCTCAGCAGGTATGGCAGCATCTGTGAAGAAAAAAATCAGAGCTAACGTTTCAGGTCCGGGATATCTGAGGAAGGGCAACCAGACCCGAAACGTTAACTCTGACTTTTTCTTCACAGATTCTGCCAGACCTGCTGAGCTTTTCCAGTAACTTCTGTTTTTGTTTCTGTATACTTATACCTAGGTTTGTCACAAATTTGTATTTCATGTTAACTGCTGTTCTTTTTTTCTTATTTTTCTCGTTCTCCTCCAATCCAAGGACTTTTTGCACTCCTGGTGATGTTTCTCGGTTATATAAAGCCAGCAAAGTCGACTCCACTCCACCCCATCTGTGACATCAGAGTGCTGGACAAGTACATTAGAGAAGCAAAGGATGCTGCAGATTCAACGGTATGCCATTGTGTGCATGTGTGTGGCTTGTTTATAGTGTAATGCAATGATTTCTAATTGGGCTTTAGGTCTGGTATCTGATGTGAATGTTAATCCAGAGCTTCAGCGGAGGGTTGGAAACTCAATGCTGCAGTCACCTTTCACTGCATTGCATAGAATCTGCTAAAGTCGAATGATTTCCAGTGTAACTTGTGATCTGATTTGCTGTTTTTCCAATTTGGGACACTTGAGAAAGAGTTCAGGGTCGAGATAACAGTTTAATTGAAGGGTAACTTCTAGGATAAATCAAGAATTCAGGTGGCACGGTGGCTCAGTGTTTAGCACTGCTGCCCACAGCACCAAGGTCCTGGGTTTGATTTTGCCCTTGGGCAACACACAGTGTGGAGTTTGCACATTCTCCCTGTGTCTGCATGGGTTTCCTCCGGGTGCTCCGGTTTTCTCGCACAGTCCAAAGATGTGCACATTAGGTGGATTGGCCACGGGAAATGCAGGGTTACAGGGATAAGGTGAGGGAATAGGTCCGGGTGGGATGCTCCTCGGAGGATTGGTGTGAACTCGATGGGCCAAATGGCCTGTTGCTACACTGTAGGAATTCTATAATGCTATGAATTATTGGCATGTCAACAAAATTTGTGGTCTGTTACTCAATGCATTAGAACCTAAGAAAACCTTACAACGCAACCATCAAACCAATTTAAGGTGGTTGACCAAACATTTGACCAAAGAAATAGGTTTTAAAGGAGGAGGGAGAGGCAGATTTGTTTAGGCCCGAGGCAACTAAGGACATGACTGCTAAAGCTGGGGGGTGCCAAAGAGGCTAGAATTGGAGGAGTACAGAGATGTTGGAGGGTTGTGGAACTGGAGCAGATTGAGAAAAACCAATGCAGATCTATAGGTCAAGTGACTGCAGCACAGAACAAGGTCATTCTATGATTCATTATACGTATATTGAGTATGGGTTTAATAGTTTCCTATACACTGTGCAAGGAAATGCAATTTAACCTTGTACACTACTTCCCAGACTTTATGACCCTATTTTATAGCCTCCGGTTTCATGCAGCCACAGAGTAAAAATCTGGGGGCTCTGAGGCAAAACTTTCACAGGGCAGCTGTGCCCTTGTTAATGTATTTTGTTTTATTTGTTCCTGGGATGTGGGTGTCACTGAGCAAGGCTAGAACCTGTTGCTTATCCCTGTTTCAGTGGGCATCAACCACGTTGCTGTGGGTCTGGAGTGATATGTAAGCCAGAGTAACAACAGCAGCTTTCCCTCCCTCAAAGGCACTAGTGAACCAGATGGGTTTTTACAACAAGTGATGATTGTTGTCATGGTCACTGCTACTGAGACTGGCTTTCAATTCCAGATTAATTGATTTGAATTTAAAATCCAGTAGCTGACGTGGTGGGATTCAAACCGATGTCACATTAGCCTGGCCACATGGATTACTGGCCAGTGACATTACCCTGTATGCTAGGGAAAACGATTGCTTTCAGGATAAGGGGCAAGAAAAATGAAGGAAAATTAACCCAAAGTCTACCCCTCCTAAAATTATGAGGCCCTGTGATATAACATTAACTAGCAATATCAAGCTTCAACTTTGAATCTGCTCTGTAGCCATGATACATGATATGTTTGTTAGTTTAAACCAATACCACGTTAAGTGGCAATAATCTAGGACTGCATTCCTTGAATCACTCTGGAAGGTTAAGGGGTGAGATGATCAAACCTTTCAAGACATTAAGGGAAATGCAAATGCTGGATAGAGAGAAGTTATTTGCACAGTTTGGAAATCTGCAGTATAATCTGGAAGAACCTTGGAAATCCTGGAGAATACAGTTTTCTCTGGAGCTCAAGGGTTTCACAAATGATTTACCAAAGTTATGCTAGGGGATAGGAAGAGTCCCCTTAGAAATTCGCGCCTCCTCTGAAAATCATTTACATTATTACTGGAGATTTTGTGGGGGTAGGAGATGATTTCTAACATAAGGTATCAACCAGTTGTATTTCTAAAATTCAACCAGCCGTCCCAGATTAAGTTCCAACTATCTGACCCATGAGGGGACAAATGTTACCAATGATTCAAAAATGTCCACACTGCTTTGTTGTTTCTTTGCAGTAATCTCTGTCAGCTCCAAAGGGATTAAATAATGGTCACCTCTGCTGGGTAGAAACATAGATAGGAATGGGTAGAGGCCATTCAGCCCATTGAGCCTGCTCCAGCATTCAAACAGATCATAGCTGATCACCTACCTCTTTACCAATTTTCTACAATATTCCTATATCCTTGGTGTCATTAATGTTCCAAAATCTATCGACCTCAATCTTGAATCGACTGCATGACTGGGCTTTCATAGCCCTCTGGGGTAAACAACTCCAAAAGGTCACCCCTCTGAGCAAAGAAAATCATCCCTGTTTCAATCCCAGGTGGCCTGATCCTTACTCTGAGACTGTGCCTCCTGGTTTTAGACTGCATCAAGCCTGAGGATACATCCATCCTGCATCTACCTTGACAAGCCCTGTAAGAATTTTTATTGTTTCTCAGAGGGTATCATGCATTCGAAGATGCACACATAAAATCTACTTCTTCCTCCACTCCCCATTCTATAATCTGATGCATTTTAGCAGTGAGTCACTGATGAACATTGATCTGAAAAGGTTCCAAAGCTCAGTCTCTGATCTGCAATAGGCTTAGCTCAGTTGACCTCAGCAGAAAGCCAGTCAGTTTCCCACTCCTACTGACCTTTTAGACTAACAGCGAAGTGCCATGTATAGCTATCAGATGATCAACACCTTGCAAGGAACTCGCAAAAGCATGGTGAGCACAGAATTTGCACAATCTGAAACAAAAACAGTGTTGGAGAAATTCGGTCAGTTTGGCAGCATCTCTATTGGAGAGAAACAGAGTTAATGTTTTGAGTCCAATATGACGCTTATAGAGTGATAGCATTGTACAGCACGGAAACAGACCCTTCGGTCCAACTCGTCCATGCCAACCAGATATCCTAAATTAATCTAGTCCCATTTGCCAGAATTTGGCCCATATCCCTCTCAGCCCTTCCTATTCATGTGCCCATCCAGATGCCTTTTAAATGCAGTAATTGTACCTGCCTTCATCATCTCGTCCGGCAGCTCATTCTATACATGCACCACCCTCTGCATGAAAAAGTTGCCCCTTAGGTCCCTTTAATATCTTTCCCCTCACACTTCAAACTTATGCTGTCTAGTTTTGGACTCCCCTACCTAGGGGAGAAAAAGACCTTGACAATTCACTCTATCCATGCCCCTCATGGTTTTATAAACCTCTATAAAGGTCACCCCTCAGCCTCCAACACTCCAGGGAAAATAGCTCCTGCCTAATCAGCCTCTCCCTGTAGCTCAAACCCTCCAACCCCAGCAACTCAGAACTTACGACTTTAGAGCAGGCTTTGTCATGAGCAGGCGAATTTGGGGCAGGATCTGCTTTTGACCCCTGCCACCTCCCCCTGAGGTGTCCCAGTGGAAGACCTTCGCACTGTCTAACCATCCACTCCTCTTAATCACTGCCACACTTGGCAGCAGTACTGGCTGATTTCCCCTAGAAATTCCAGTTGTTCTATCAAGTGTACAAACCTTGGGAAGTGGCCCAAAGTGGGCCCAACACTCCCATCCCAATGGCAGGCAATTTGAGGAATATAAACATTACTGATAGAAATGAATAGCTGAGAACTAAAGTGGCCAGTCCATTTGTATCCCTCTAACCAGGCAGCTTGTGGCACTTCAGAATCTCACTCCCCTGACCTCTGCTCCTCTGGGCTATAGTGATGGTATAAAGGGTATGGGCAGAAGGAAAACAAGATAGAAGTTCACCATTGCCAGGATGGAGTGCCATTCTTTGAGTGACAATGCTGAAATGACGATGACTCATGTTACTGTTCCATTGCTCGGGAGCTAAATTGGATTCCACTTTTAAAGCTGAACCTGATTGTTGTGAAAGCAGTTACTGGCTCTGTCAAAATAACTGAGTGAGGAATCTCACACCAGTATGTCAAGCGTTTGCGTGGTAACATTCCTTACAGTCATCTGTAGGCTTCTGGATTTTACTGAAACAGCTGCTTTTATCTATTTATGTAAATCCCCAAAGCAGAGTAATAGCTCCTTATTTGCTGTCTTTAGGGTTATTAATCTATCAAGTAATCTGTGGGAGGCACACTCCTCAGGAATGTGTCTTTCCATAAGTGCATTAGGGGTTTGTACTCAGGCACTGTTGGTAGAGGTTTGTTACATGGGGGCCCTGGTTTATCCTGAACCTGTTTAGCATGGACTACTGTCACAGTGGTATTTCAAAGCCTGCAATTTCACAGATGGCTGGTGGAACTTGCTGGTAAGTTCGCTTCAATGATTCAAAGCATATATCTGCTGGGAGATGTTCCTCCAATGTTTATTTTATATGGGGCAGAGAAGGAAGGCGGGTAGAAGGTGGGTTGAACAGGTCACTATGGAGTTGGTAAGTGAATAGTAGCACAAATGGTTTTGGGGTTTTTATCGGTTCCTGGATATGTAGGGGAGTGGTATTTGTGAAGACAGGAGGTCAGGGGAAAGGTGTGGAGTCAAGGGTTCCAGTTCTAATGTGCATTGTTGCAACCAGAGAATTATTAACATGATATGTGTCTGTGATGACCCATGGAGTTGACTAAGGCTTTCAGGTAGTTTAACATGTTTGTGAACTTAGAATTTGCTATGTCAGTGTATATTGATTATAGCTGCCCCTGTCAGCACTTAAAGTAATAGATTCTCTTGGCACTGATGCAGATTGCAAAGTTGAGGCAGAGTTTCAGTGCTGTCTATTTTCCCCACATCTAATCTGTCACCCATCCACAACATTTTCTTCCATGATCCTCCGTCTTTCCCCAATATCCTGTTACCGTGTGGCTACACGTGAATATGCGAACAAGGAACAGGAGTATGCCATTTGGCTGTTGGACCCTGCTGTGCCATTCAACAGGATCACCACTGACCTGATTG